TACTGAGTGTCAGGGCAATGACCAATACAAAATGTACAAAATGATATATAAGCTTCTCCTATTTACATCCGATTTTGCGTGGAGAAACATAAACAAGAGCTATGGAAGCTCACAGTTCTAATTTAGCGAACCCGCTCTAGTTAACAAGACCGAAGACAAGAAAGAAACAAACCAAACATTATCATTCGGACAAATGAAACCGGTTGTTGAGGCAGTTATGTGGAAAATACAGAGCATAAGAGGTTGTGCAGTTTCTCAGTCTTTGTTGTTGGAGGTCTGAGGAGGAGGAGGAGGCGGCTTGCTCTTCGGCGTTCCAGAGTTCAGTGGATTCTCTGTGTCCTGATTCCCCCACCAGCATTTGACTCACTCAATCTGCAAGGGTGAAGAGATAGAGCGCACGTTATGAAATGCTTAATGTGTTCGATGTTGGCATTCCTGTATCTCAGACAGTAGAGGTCATGGGTTTGATTTCCAGCCCATGCATGCTCAAATGTACAATAGAAGTCCCTTTGGACATCAATCAACTTCATTATCTTTATGAATCAGAGCTCATTTATATATTGAAACCACACAAATCAGTAGTTCTTTGCAGTCTACTATAGTCTTATTAAATGGTTCCAAAAGATAAAACACTTTGTGGTGGATCCAGATTTTTTTTTTTAACCCATTAGGGGTTTTGTTACAGCAGATGCTGAATCTGATTTTAGAAAAAATATAACCATCAATTAGAAATCAGGATAATGATGATCTGCAGACAACAGTTTTTGTGTTTGTTTTGTTTTTAAAGTGTGTTCCTTACGAAAATTGCAATAATATGCTTTTTTGCTTCACAAATTTGTTCACAAATTAGTGTTCCTAAATTCTTAAATGCAAAAACCTGGGCTGTTATTGATTTTTATAGGTTATTTGATCCAGCACATATATACCTCTCATCTTTTATGATATATCATCTCTTAACCATGAGCTTGAGAGAAAAAACATAACCTTTAACCTTTTCTTATATTCACTGCAAAAAAAGATTTTCTTAGTATTTTTGTCGTTTTCTATAACAAATGTCTAAACATTCTTAAATCAAGATCAATTTAATTGAAATTTAAAAGAAAATGACTTTTCAGAAAAAAATATTTAAATACTGTTAGTTTTTGCTTGAAACAAGAAAAAATATCTGCCGATGGGGCAAGAAAAATAATCTTGTTTTCCCTTTGAATTAAGATTATTTTTCTTAATCCACTGGCAGATGTTTTCTTGTTTTAAGCAAAAACAAACAAAATTTTGATAAATCTTTCAGAAAACAAGACTTATTATCTTAAATCATTTTGCTTCTCAAATAAATGTATCCTGATTCAAGAATCCTTAGATGTTTGTACTAGAAAACAAGTCAAAAATACCAAGTAAGAAAATCATTTTTTGTAGTGTTGGTATGGAATTCTATTTGTGGTTCATTATCAACAGAACATGCAATATAAGTGTGAGTGCAAGTCTCTTCATAGCTTTTATAAGTACTGTAAGAAAAATAATTTAAGCTTGCATATATGACTTAAAGTTCTTATTGAAATCTATGTAGGTGAGCAAGAAAAAGCTTTTGTAGGACTTCGAAAGCAAGAATGAATCTGTGATAGACCAGAAATCAGCATTCACAGAAACAAACAGCATTTTAAGTCATCTCGGTGAAAGGTTTTACTTGACTGTTAAAACAGTGAAAGCAAGGTTTTTTAGGCAGCATGCAAGTGGATTCCTTTAATATCATATTTGCACATCACAACTCTGTGTTTGCACAGTCGCTCTGTGCACATGAAGTGCTCTTTTCCCAGTGCTATTCAAAGTGCAAAACCAAATTTCAAATCATGTTCAATCAGTTCAAAAAAATCAGTACGAAAAAAAGAAAATTTCTGAAAGCAACAGCAACATTTTTCATAGTTTCTCTTCTCACTATAACAACAGCATGCCAGTATCAAGTTGACAGGACAATTTTGCTCCGTCGTTTCTCCTCAGGACCGTGGGAAAGACTCATTTGATTAAAAAAAAACAGGTGCAATTCACAACTGCATCTTAACAAATAGACTGTTTAGGTTACTTTACATCACATCACATAATCTGTTCAATAACTGTCTCAGCTGTTTGCATTTGTACACGACAGAGAAATGAATGTTGAAGCAGCATGCAGCTTTTAGAGGGCTACTAGCTGTCACTGATTTTGTTGCATAAGGGGAGACAGAGATGCAACCAACCTTTTGAGGCAGTGGCATGTCCTCCCGAAACGGAGAACTCTATACCAGCGTAAGCATCGCTCTCTTGGAGGTTACTAAGGGAGCAATGCTGTAGATCATGGGCATGTAGCCATCATCTTTTGGCAGTTTCTTTTGACACTCAGAGCTGAGCAAGGGAGGCTTGTTTGGGTGATGTAATTCAGAGTAAGACTTATAGGCTGACTTCAGCAGGCACGAGCAAACCTGGTGTCGTTTCGACTCCACCGGGCTCGATTCGTCTAAAGAAGATGAGGTTTGCGTAGCTTTTTGCTGTGTGATACTCAAACCGCCGCCAAGCTTTGGCTTGGACGAATGTGCTAGCTTGAGGAAAGTCCTTTCCATGTAACTGCTCTCCTCCTCGAAAGTCCTCGCCCCATCTCTGTGCCAATCCATGGTCATGTATTCAGTCAGCCGATAGTCCTCTCGAAAGGGTGGAGTGCTGCCGTGGGATTCGGGCGTGGTACAACTTGCGTGAAAGTACCTGAAGTCACATGGACTGGGACAGAACTCATCGGACGAGTTGAAGCCTCCGTCACTAGGGGAGCCACAAATGGAGGAGCTAGAGGGGCGAGTGTGCGTGTCTGAGGCCGAGCCGTGCCCGCTGCTGCTGGACACGCTGATGGGGCTGGTGGCAGACAGGAAATGAGACACGGGAAGCGAAGCAGACCGGGTGTGCTGGCTCGAACCTGGTGAGGCGTGGGCGCAGCAGCTGCCGCTTTCTTCTCTGCCCACGCTAAGAACGGGGGTATTTAGGTGCACCAGGCTGCCTGTGCCAGAGCTGAGGGGGCGGTCCTGAGTGCCTTCGCCCTCACTTGAGGTCCGGTAGCGCTGGCCCCGCCCTCTATTTTTCCCTGTAGGTGGCGTGCCTGTCACTGAATCTGTTCTGGAGGGGCGCTGCAGCCCAGTTTGGCTTGGGGGAAGGTTGCCGAGATGTCGGCGAGTAGTGATAAACGGTATGGGATTCGAGCCGGAGGACTGGCTTTTGCTCCGTGGCCTAAAGTCAGGAAAGGCCTTTAAAGCCTTCATTGTGTCGAGAATGGTCTCGTGCATGTTCTGCGCTACCACCGAGTCCTCGACTTGCACCCAGATTTCACCGGGACCGATGGAAGAAGAGCGCCCCACCTCGATAAAGAAGAAGCTCTCAGAGTGGCCACAGCGGCGAATGCTCATTAGCGGCAGGTTGACGGCAGGCGTCTCCGAGTTCAGCTTCACCAGGTGAATAGTCTTGGAGGAAAGGCACAGACGGTACACGCCCATTAAATTCCTAGTCTGACCCAAGCCTTTAGGTTTGACGTTCACCTGCCACACCTCCTTGAAAATAGTACCCGGCGAAATCGTCCCGTAACCGTCATCAAGCTCATCGTTGTCTAGCTGCCCCTTTTTTCCCTCCGTCATAAGTTCGGTGAGGGCCAAGTACCACTCCTCTTGCTCCTGTTCGCTCTCCGCCACCACTGCAAAATACTCATCTTTAGTATAAAGGGCAATGAGGTATTTGTTCTTAGCATCAGCCCTCTTGTTCACCGTAAAACACAGGGACAGATAAATCACCCTCTTGGCAGGGCACGCAACACCGGAGGCAGCAGCTTTGAGGGCGTTTCGAAATTTCTTCTCGCTGTCGTAATACTCCAGCCGACTGGGCCCGAGGTTGCTGGGGCCCCTCAAGACGAAGAACCTCTTGTGGCCGTGCTTCTGTTTTCTGAGATAGCCACATTTCCATATGTCCCTGTCCACACCGCCGGAGCAGGCGGCGGCGGCGGCCAGGGCAGCAGCAGTGGTGTCGGCACCGAGTACGCGGCAGAAGGCAGAGTCGTGCACTTTATACTGGAGGGGTGGCAGGTTCTTCCTCAATACAGCATCCTGAGGGTTCTCATCCGGGAACAGATGATGCACTTTAAAGTGGTAAGGCGGATGGTACCTCCTCTGAGGCTGAGAATGAGAGGAGGCTGTTAAGTGCATGGGCAAACGGGAGCCGCTGTTATTGATTGAGGTTGTGGAGGAGGAGGAGGAGGAGGATGGAGGCTCCCCGGCAGCACAAGAGATGTCGCCCTTGGTCGCGGCCGTTTTCATGACAGCGCGACGCGGTTGTGCCTCCAGTGTCAACATGACGCCGTGATTCGGTAAACGCGGCCGATCTTCCATGGGACAATGCGATGAAAGGTCACTTTACCTCCACTTTACACTGATGCACGGCCCATTTTGTTGGCTGCGGGTTCGTAGCTCAGATACAATTACACGTTCGAGTAATCCGTGCTGCTTTCCGATGTGTCCCCCTGGTGATTATTCAGCACGACGAGACGTTGCATCTTCGCAGAGCCTCCATCATCGCTCGCTGCCATTATAAATCTTTATTTGCCCGCTTCACTCATGGTGACTACACATCACTACAGCCCAGCGAAAACATCACGTGACGAGCACGTCAGCGCACTGCGCGGGGTGAACGGGGTCAGCAGACGCCTCTCATTGGTCCGCTCGCGAAAAAAAGCTGTGATGGACAGTCCTCTAAACCAATCAGAGCCGTCAATCCAGCAACGGCGTCTGTCGATTGGAGGGGAGATCTGCCGTCTGCTGCCTCTGTGTGCAGACTCTGGTGCTGTAGTAAATATCTTTGTAACGAGAATAAGGACGAGGAGCACAAACGGTTCATTTTACGTAAAAATATAGTGTTACATCTTTTTAATATTGAAATGGATTTTAATGACAGTGCCTCGCGATAATCTATCAGTCAAAAGTTTGGTGACTCCTACTCCTTCTTTATAATTTATCTTATTATAACACAATTCAAATAATTTTAGAATAATAGCAAAGTGTATGATAATAGCATAGAAGTACAGAAACCGTGTAGTGGCCATGATAAACAAATAATATAAATATAAAACGTAAAAACATGGTTTCACACTTTCAGAGCATAACAGCCAGTGTTGTTCAGGTAAACTGGTCCACATTAAACCTTCACTAATTCTACTCACATTCATTAAATAAACTGACATTTGCTGATTATTTTATAATTGACATGTATAACTGACTTTTTAGAAATGAGTGTGCAATCAGGAGATTCAAGTCAGAGATGGAAGAAAGGAGAAGGAGAGAGAGAGAGAGAGAGAGAGAGAGAGAGAGAAAGAGAGAGAGCGAGAGAGAGAGCATAAACCAAGCCGAATCTGGAAGGAAAAAAGGATGAGAGGAGCCAAATGTAGATCCAGAGAATAAAGCTTAAAATATGGTCACAGTTATAGTTCATTTAAAGCGTTTAGAGAAAACAGACAGAAAAAAGGGTTACAATATTACACTTCAAAAGTCCCTCCTGCTCAGTTTTTTGTTAGCCTATTTGTTGTTGCATGTGTTATAGTCACATTTTAATATGTTGTAGAGTTCATGTTCATCAATATTCTGTTCAATTTAATCAAATGTAATGCATGTTCTATCAGTTGTTTTGAGTAATCCTATGAATTGTACTCATAGCCTCAGCTATAGGCTCTGTTTTTGGGTTTGTTAATTATGTTGTTGAATATGTCTGTTTGATAATATGTGTTAATAAACATAAATAAATAAATAAATGTGTTTTTATAATTTCTAATAATTAAGATACAGGATAATTTTTTCATAAATCAGTTGACCCACTTTACCTGCTAAAAGACATTTATCTGGAGTGCATGATCTCAAATCATGCTTAATGGTATATACCTTCCAAATAACATATATGAACTGAATTCAATGAAAACATTACAGCTGGACCTTAAAAATAACAAAGGTAATAAAGAAAAGAAAAAAGAAAAACATCTGGGTATCTAAATTACAAGTTTAACAAAAAGTGGCCAACTTTATTTATAATCTCAGTATTATTTTGATTTACACTGTTTTTATGCTTAAGGAAAATGTTTATTGAATCACAAATTTAAGCTCTTGTTTCATCTTTGTGAGGATGAAGAAAGTCGTTTCTGCCTTTTGTTTTAATTGATAATGTTTCTATACCATGTCTGACAATATGATTTCAAATTATTATCAATATCTCTCCATGCACTATGCTTCCACTTTTTTTTGTCCTAATAATAAATATTAATCCTACATGTTGTATCTGAATTTGCTGCCTCTGTCGTCAGGAATGTTAGATCCAGCTGTGCTGCCGCTCTTTCTTCATCAAATTTTGGGTTTTGATAAGAAATCAAAATAGTCAACACCTTATTAATTCTTCTATCAGCCCAAGAAGCAGGGGAAGATGCAGGAGACAAATTAATGGTAAAAATTAGCAGGGTTTATTGAATAATCTTTTTTGCATTGTTATCAACATTGCACATAATAATCAGACTACAGTTACTTTTTTATTAATTTCATGATTACTTAATATTCATAAAATGGCAGAAAATTATTCACAAAAATATTGTTTCTCCCTAATTCTTTAAATGATCCTTTCAAAAAAAAAAAAAAAAGCCTATTTATGCTTTTTAAGTCCACCAGTTTTGTGGAATTGCACATAGAGACCGGCCACTAGTCAGATGGCTATGATTTTTGTAAATTTTATTTTACAATGATTTATTTCTTTCATTGAAACATTTTAATTAAAGGAAAGTTCCTTCACAAACCCGGATGAAATGCGATGTTTAATGCACTTCATGTTGTTGATAACAAAAAAAGGAATACATTTTCTTTTTCCTTGAATTTTTATTTCAATATGGTACAAAATTGCTCTATTCAAATCACTGTGATAAATGAGTTAAGTCAAAAGTAACCTAAAAACGAATAAAAGATTATTCAGATTATATTACCCAAAACGTGTAATGTAAAAGATTATGTTACTAACTACACTTTTCATCATGTAATTTGCATTCAGTAATGGACTACAATTTGTAAGTTTGGAGAAGCTAGGAAAAAGGTGGACAGCCAGGACGATTATTTAATTTTTTTCTCTTTCAAAAACAGTAGCTTTGCAAAAAGCTGTTTAGCATTTTATGTAATTTCTATTTTTTTTTTTTTACATCTCATAAAAGTGTATCTTGAGACCTCTGTATGCTGTTCAACAACATGTGTTTAACGTTTTTAAAAATGAGAACGCATTCTGTATGACAGTCTACCATTTATAGAACAGTTCAGTGCAACACAAAAATGCAGACAAAAATGGGTTTTGGTTTGGTTTTTTAATTGGGGCTAAAAATGAACTTCAAATACACCTCTTCTTGTCTAGCTGTACCTCTTTCTTCCGCGTGCATGTGCATCTGCATATAACCAAAAAAAGATGAAGAATGTTCCCTTACGAAAAAGACATTTATTCAAGTGTGCTATTAGTATACTTTTTTAAACTAAAAATAGGGAAGTATAATTTTAGTCTACCTTTTCTGTACTTCTCAGAAATGGGCTTTATGGTCTTCTCAGAAATATACTTAAAATTACATTTAAGTATACTTAACTTATACTTGAAAAAGTCTAAATATATTTGAGCTACTGTATACTTGTGCTCCTAGAATCCGTGTTTTCATTGTTATACGGTAGGGTAGATGTAGTACACATCTTCTGTACAGAATTTCCAAAAAACACAAGTGAAGAAGAAACCGAAACAACAGATGCTTCCACATGTAATCTCACACGATCATCAGACATAAAACAGCATCAAAACTGTGTAACGT